AAGTGCTAATTTTGTGAGAAACACATCTTGTATGTGCTTCTAATGCCATGATCTGTTTTAACTCGTTTGTGGAATCCATGCAGTTGATGCAAAAATCATTTACGAAGGTGCTAATCAACAGCGGTTTTGGTTGTCTAACAAACAGCCGTTTAGGCACATACTGTTCAACAATTGTTAAACCGGAATATAATGAAGACCAATCATACGGAAGTCCGCTACCGAACAATACTGTAAGATGATTTCTGCCATCGATAATCTCAATGTATCTGTTGTACTGTATTTTCTATTTTCAAAGAGTATTTCAGGTTGGAGGTGAAACATCACTCGCTGCTTTAATAGCATCGGTTGGCACGCCACCTCATCTGACCAGTAGCAAAACACAGTGTTCAGAATGCGGTAAACACTTCCGTAAAAGTAAGTTCCATCATGATATAAATTGTCTAAAGTTAATATGCGTTTAGAGGTCTTCTCTTTTTATAGTTAATTACGTCCCCTGTAAGCTAGTCATAATCTGACAGCCAGCTTTCCCTGTATGCGTCGAATGCACAAAGTTTTTCAAATACGTTCGCTGTTGTGCTTCCTTTTTGCAAGACTAAGCAATGAACAAATTTTAAGATTTGGTTTTGAAACCAATGTGCCGCTAAAGGAGCAGTAAGGTGGTGTGCCATCGTTTGCGATTTTCTGTAGCGGTTCCACTTTTCGAAACTGTCAAGACATCCTTGATCATCACCTTCATTTACATCATAGCGTAAGCAAAATCTTCTAAGATTGCTATCCATGTGCCACGTCCCACTTACAGAATGTTCTGGTCCTAGAATAATAGTGCTCACAGCATCTCAGGGTTAGAACTAACAAGTAATAAGTAGACCTCAGAATTTAATGGTTTTGTCATTCAACTCAGTCGTCGGAAGGCTGCCGCTTATCCGGCCATCATTTGAATAGGAAGTATCGTACACTGTGATGTTTTGCTAGTGACAAGTACACCTAGTAAAGGTTTGCTCAAATTTGGTATTTTGCAGAAGAAAAAGAAGAGGAGAAATGCCATTATCTCATTTGAATTATGATTCGACAAAACTATCTTATCAAAAACTTTCCGTCCATCTTGACACCATTTCCCCGTATCACAACAGAGCGTTGCCTATTTGGGCGGGATAGGATTGCAACCGATGGAGG